TGTTATGGGTTCTAGGTCTTCAGTTGGGTTCAGGTAGGATATTTTCATGGGATTCAGGCCCTCAGCTGGATTCCTGGCCTATAGTTTGTGGACAGATTTCCTGTACTCTTTTGTATACCATTTTTTGGGTGACTATTATAAATAATTTTATAAAATATGTGTCCCGTATTATATTGTTCACCTTGCAAAAAGAGCCCCAAACCCCAACTTTGGTTATAGGCTAAATAGAATTATATGTTAGGAGAATAATAGGATTTTAGCTTAGCTAAGTAGTACCTGCTATATGCAATTGTTGAGGGGATTTAAATAATATATGCAAAATGTTTAACATTGTTAATTATACAGTGATTAATAATGTAGTTATTATTGTAGTGTTGGCTTTGACATTGTGGAATCTATAAACTTCCTAGTAAATATTCAGGTCTAACTCTTTCTCATGCATCACATCTGAGATGTACATATGTGTTTCTAAGAAGCATTATCTTTGTTTGTATTTATTTTCAGAAATGCCTAAACCAGGTATTTTCAGCCCAGAAAGTGATCCAGAAAATTAATGGGAAAATGCAGCTTTGCGAAGAGTCCCAGTGCATTTGGAAAGGTGTGGGGCAAAAGCTTTCCATTTACCCTTCTTTCCCCCTCCTCTCCCTGCCTCCTTCATCTCCACCTTACTTTAAACTGTATATGTGAACAGTTCTCATAATCCTCTGCCCTAACTAGCTGTACTTCCAAGTCCTTTTTCTAGAGGAAACTACTTTTAGTTCTTCCAGGTACCCCCTGATATTAAGTGTATTCTCTACATAATATTGGTAAACTGCTATTTCATAATATTGGTAAACTGCTATTTTAGACATAGTCGTGATTTACTAGTTTAGTAGATAAGCACTTAGTTTCCTCCTGTTTCATTATTTCTTCAGTCTCTGGACATGCTTATAGCATACTTTAGAAAAGAAAAATTCATAGTATTTCTATAATATTACTATACAACTATATTTACCACTGAGCCAAGTAGTCATGGTAAGTGTTCTTTCTTTCTAGGGTAACTTTCTTTCTAGGATTAATAGTTATTAATGTTTCCCCTAATTATACCAATGTTTTGTTCCACAGCTGATGATAACATCTTCCATGTGCTTTCTCTCCAGCTCCCTCTTTTCCTTGGTGACCTCCCTACAAGCTGCTAACCAGGCTGGTCTAGTTGTCCCACTGTCATCCTGAGACTTCTCTGACATTAGAGCCACTGTTTATGAAAATGCGTTTCTGGTTTTATACTTGATTCAAAATTTGACTATAAGTTCCAGTCCCACTCAGAATTTTGAAGATATGAATTCATTACATGAGTTCACTTTATGGATATTGTAATGGGTTTTTCTATTTTATGGACTTTTGACAAATATATAATGACATGCATTGAATATTATGGTATCATAGAGAGTATTTTCATTGTCCTAAATATCCTCTGTGCTTTGCCTATTCATTCTTCTCTTTCCCTTGACAACCTTTGTTTTGTATTCATAGGTTTTCTTTTTCCATAATGTTGTATAGTTGGAATCATTCAATATTTAACCTTTTCAAACTGGCTTATTTCATTTAGTAATATGCATTTCAGTTCCCCTCATGCTTTTTCACGCCTTGAAAGCTCATTTGTGTTCAGTGCTGAAGATGTTGTGTATGTGGCATGACCAATAATTAAAAGTTATTACAGTAAAGGACACATTGGTATTAATCCCTCTCATAGGGATTAATCTGGCATCAGATGCACTCTTCCTATCACTCCTGCCACTTTGTGAAGCAGTTCGGGACACTTTCTTTCATGATTGTCTTTATGAGGTGTGATAAAAATATGGTGAGTACTGCTTGTAAGTGTCATCCAATGGAAAAGTGGCTTGTAATATGGTATCTCTTTAATTCACAAGCTCTGGCACCATGTGACTTCTGGCTCTTCCCAAAGTCAAAATGACAATGCAAGGTAAATATTTTGAATCAATATAGGATGTGAAGCAGCCATGACAATACAACTAAAGATGCTCTCAAGAGCGGACTTCAGAACTGCTTCTGAAAGTGGCAAGAATGTGGGATAGCTGTGTTTTAATTGAGGGGACTTTTGAGGGTACCATGTATCTTTTGCTGTAATACATTTAAAAAAATTTAAGATTTTACTGTATTTTTCAATCACACCTTGTATATATCTTGCAGTACCAGATTTTATCCACTGACCTCTTGAAGGACATCTTGGTTTCTTCCAAGCCTTGTAATGAAAGCTGTTATGAATAAACTTGTTATAACCACTAAACATGTTCTTTTTTTTTTTTTTCCAGTACTGGGAACTGAACCCAGGGCCTTCTCACTGAGTTACTCCCCAGTCCTTTTATTTTGAGACAGGATCTCACTAAATTGTTAAGTTGCTGAGGCTGGGTTCAAACTTGGAATCCTCCTGCCTCAGCCTTTTATAGTGTTGGGATTATAGGTATGTGCACACCATTCCTGGCTCATGTTCAGGATTTTTGTGTGGACGTCAATTTTCAACTCATCTAAGTAAAAACAAAGCACAATTGCTAGATTGTATGATAGCAATCGGTTTTCTAAGGAAGTGCCAAGGTGTGTTCCAAAGTGACTACCGTTTTGCATTCCAGGAGCAATGAATGAGTGTTTCAGTGCTCCATATCTTTGCAGTATTTGTTGTCAATGTTTTGGATTTGGGCCACTGAGACACAAGTGTGGTGTTCTCTTGTTTCAGCTTGCAGTTCTCTAATGACATATCTTGTTGGGTATCTTATCTGTGTCATATGTCATCACTGTATCTTCTTTGGTGAATTGTCCAGATCTTTTGCCCATTTTAAAATTTTATTTTTCACTTTCTCATTGTTAAGTTTTAAGAACTTAAATGTTTATTTGCATATGTTGGACAGCAGCCCTTCATAAAATGTGTCCTTTGCAAATATTTTTCTTTGCTCTGTGGCTTGTCTTCTCATTTTCTTGACAGTGTCTTCACAGAGCATAGTTTTAATTTAGTGAAGCCCAGCTTATCAATGATTTCCTTCATAGACTGTGCCTCTGATGTTGTATCTGAAAATGTATGGCTAAATCCCATTCATGTGGGTTTTCTTCTATGTTATCTTCTAGGAGATTTATAGTTTATGTCTATGATCCATTTTGAGTTAATTTTTGTAAAGTGGTAGTGTCTGTGTCTATATTAATTTTTTTACATGTGGATGTACAGTTATCCCAGCACCACTGTGGAAGAAATTATCTTTTACCTATTGTATTGACTTTGCCCCTTTGTCCATAATCAGTTGTGGGTCTATTTGTAGGTTCTGTGTTCTGTTCCATTGATCTGTTTACTCTCTTGCTAATACTGTAATGTCATGATTAGTGTAGCTTTATCGTAAGTATTGAAGTTGGATAGTGACAATATTTTCCTTTTCTTCTATTTCAATATTGGGTTGCTTATTTTGGGTCTGTACATCTCAATATAACCTTTAGAATTAGTTTGTTTGGTTTTTTTTTTTTTTTGTTTTGTTTTTCTCTGGAACCGGGAACCGAACTTACGACCTTGCGCTTGCCAGGCAGGCGCTTTTGCCGCTGAGCTAAATCCCCAGCCCCCTAGAATTAGTTTGTTAGTGTCCACAAAATATTTTGCTGGGTTTGATTGGGAGTGTGTTGAATCTATATATCAAATTGGGAAGAACTGATATCTTAATAATATTGAGCTTTTCTATCCTTGAAATATCTGTCCATATATTTAGATTTTCTTTCATTTCTTTCTTCAGAGTATTTAGTTTTCTTCATATATATCTTATCCATATTTTTGAGATTTATCCCTAAGTATTTTATATTTTGGGTACTATTATAAAAGCTATTTTTTAAATTTCAAATTTCAATTGTTCATTGCTGATATAGAAGAGTGAAACTGACTTTTATATATTAACGTCATGTATCTTCAACCTTAATTAATTCTAGGAGGGTTTTTTTGATTCCTTGGGTATTGACTTTTAAAAATCTTTCAATAAGCAAAATTAGCATGGCTGAATATTTCTAGCAAGTTTGCGGTTCTGTCCACAACTGCAGGTCTTCCTTGCTAACACTGAGGTAGGAATTTATGAGTAACCATTTGGTTTCCTAACTTCTTCATGTGTGACACCCTCATGCTTTTATCAGAAACCATTTGGTCACGGAGACCACAATCACCTACGTTGTCTTGGTTTTTGCTAATATTATCATTATCAGTTTGATCATAAACTGAGTGCTTGGTTGGAGATGATAAGACAGCGGCATGTGGTTGGACTTAGTGGAGTCTTTTGGTGAGAACTTAAAAGAAAAGATATGATCTTGATCTGAGATAGTTATGGGTAAAATTAACCAGAAGTAGTAACTTGGTGTCATTTAATACACAAATAATGAGAGAAAAAGCTAGATTCAATGAACCAACAACCATTTGTTGACAAAGATGCAGAATAAGCCTTAAGTCTGTAAGGTATATGTACATGTGATGGATATGCAGATATGTAAAACTCACTTTGATTTTAAAATCTCAAATGACTGAATAAATATTCAAAGCATAATGTAATAGCTCTGTGTTCCCCAAAAGGCCTTCCATCTACATTTAGGTCTAAAACTCACGTATTTTTTAATTAAAAACTGCCACTGAATAATTTTTAAATGTTGTTTGATACTGAAGTTCTCTTTGTTTCCTTTCTTTTCTTATTGTTCATACTGTAGTCTTATAATGACTGCTTTCTTTTCTACTCTGTGTTCTTATACTGCTCTTAAGGATAAATACTGTACTTTCTGAATCAGGAGATACGTAGAACTGTTTGTTTCTTGCAGGCTGCAGAGATGGGGTCAGAGATGAATCCTTCCATCTTCAAAAGGTCAGAGATGTGAACTGTCCCACATGGCAACCAGAGGTGAAAATTCATCTTACTGGCCTTCGCAATGACTACTGTAAGTTATTTTGAATTGTCAAGTTGAAAGGACAAAGTGCATCCAATGTTCTGGACTAAACTTGAAATTTGATTCTGTTAGAACCAAATAGCCCTTGTGTCTCCTGTCCAAAGGATGTGCCATGCAACAAAGGTTAAGGTGACTGGATTTTCCTTGGGCAAATTTCACATTTAGGAATGGGTATTGCTGGTGATGGGGCATGAGAATTGTTACCTGTAACTACATTTTTGTTTTACTCTATTAGAATGAACTATGCACATGTTGGTCATTCTACCATATTTTAAACATGGGTAAATCTACTCAACTAAACTACTACAGTACAATGAGTTTGCTTGTTATGTACCTAGCTTGTAATCTATGTAGTTAGGGCAATAGGACTAACTCACATGACATTGATGCCAACATGCCAATGCAGAACCTAAATAATGAATTATGCAGTATCATAAGCTATAAGGAATATAAGAAGCTCAGTGAGCTCTGGAATTGTCCACAAAGACTTTGTCAAGGTATTAAAATTTAAGCTGGGCATGGTGGCACACACCTGTAATACCAGCACTCACGAGGTTGAAGCAGGGGGATTGTTGTGAGTTCGAGACCAGCTTAGGCTACAAAGTGAGCTCAAGACCAGCCTGAACTGCACAGTTCAAAAAAAAAGAGACAAAAAAAAGTTAAATTTATGCTGGGTCTTGAAAGATCAGTAGGGTTTGTAAGGGTAGAGGGAGAATGGAGAGCATTTCTGGTTCTGTTAGCACAATGAGCAAAGGCATGATGTTGGTGACCGAAAAATAATGACAATGAGAAGATACATTAGGGACTGCTATATAGATAGGTGGATGCAGCTAATACAGAAATTCAAAGTCAGATGTAGAAATTTAGGTTTATTTGAGAGTTGTTGATTAAGAGATACATTAAAGGAAAATTCATAGCAAATTATGCAGAATGCTGTTAGTAGGGAAGAACTATCAAAGATTAAGGTCCATTTCTCCTCCACGAGTAAATATATGTGAATTTAAGATTATTACATGTTTCTCAAAATTATATTACATGTTTTTGAGGCAGTAGAAAGTTGGTATCCCTGGAAAAGTTGGTTGGCTGGGAGGTGATTTGGGGAGGGAAGACTATTCTTGGAATATTACATTAAAGGAAGCTTTCAGACATGAAGTTCAGGAGATCATTAGAAACAAAGCCGGTAGTTAAAAGATCGGGTGAACTAGAGTATAGTCTGGATGATTGTGGTTAAAGGCAGGGGCCAGCCTATCTGGCCTGTCTGGGTGAGGGACAGAAGAGCAGAAGGAAAGGAAACATCTACAGAAAGGAGTGAGCAAAAGCAAAATCAGTAAACGGAATAATTCTTTACCTGCCTACTCTTTTTGTTTTTGTTTTTTAGGACAAAGTCTCATGTGTAGTTCAGCCTCGCCTTAAACTTGCTGTATAGCCCAGGCTGACCTTGAATTCATAGTGATCCCCCTGCCTCAGCCTTCTGAGTGCTGAGATTCCAGGAGTGTGCCAATACACCTGGCTACCTGCCTACTCTTTAAGCTCCTTCTCCAAGAGAATTTATTATCACAACCAAATGAAGAGGATAAGTTTTCAAGAAATGTTAAAAACTATAACACTCATAGTAAAAAGAAACAACTTTTATTCCTACTTTTCTTTCAAGCCCTAGCTCCTTTTTTCCCTTCCCTTGATAGCAAAACATGTAAAAAATGTTTATACTCACCATTTCCCATTTCTGTTCCCACATTACCTTTTTTTCTGTTTGTTTTTTGAGACAGAGTTTTACTGTGTAGTCCAGGCTGGCCTTGAAATCAATATGTAGTCCTGGCTGGCCTTGAACTCATAACAATCCTCCTGCCTCAGCCTCTGAATGCTTGGGATTACAGGCATGGCCACCATTCCCATCCTTCCCCTCACTGTCTTGAGCCCACTGTAGTTAGGTTATCTCACTATTCCTTTGAAACTGCTAATGCAAAATCACCAAAGAGCCCTTCTCTGTAAAGCCTTTCAGTTACTTTGTACCTAACTCTGTCATCCACATTTGAGATATATCCTCTTAGACAGTCCATTGTCTTTTTCTTTAATTGACATGTAAACTTCCTAGTTTTATATTCACTTTATTTCTCTGATCTTTTTGTGGGTCTGCCTAAGGCTTATTCTTTGAACATCTTTTCTACTTCTATTTTAACTGGTTTATTGTTTTTGGCTATTTTTTGTATTATGTTTTTAGTTAGTTTTTGATATTACAATGTAATCTAAAGTTTCTCAAGTATACTTAATTACTGTTGTACTTTTTACACAAGACATACATAAAAATCTTGTAGTCATATAGTTCTCTCCAACTTCATAGCTTTTTTAGTTTATTGTAGTTGTTAAGTGCTTTGCCTTTAAAAAGTAAAATTTAAAAAGCATTTTAAATTTTTTAGGAGGAAAAGGATGGTCCTTTATATTTACCCAGCTGTTTACTAATTTCAGTGTTCTGTTTCATGTTGAAGATTCCAGTTTCTCTCTTACATAATTTCTCATTAGCCTGAAGAGCTTCCTTTACAATTTCTTGCTGATCAAGACCATTGACTAGGACTTTGCTTAGATTTTTTTATCTTCCATGTCATGATATTTTTGTTGGATATGGAATTTGAGTCTGGGAGATTTTCCCTCTCAACAGTTTTCAGATGTTGTTCCACTGACTTCTGATCTCCATGTTTTCTGGTGAGAACTCCATGGTCACATGAAGCCTTGTTCTTCTTGCTTCTAAGACTTGGTCCAAATAGACTTGTGGTAGATCTTTGGATATTATTCTACAGGTACCTGGGGGCTCCACTCGGTTTTCTGTTTTTGCTTTTTCTGTATGTTCTGGTTGAATAATTTCTGGTGATCTGTACTCTAGTTCACTGACGCTTTTGTCTATCATTTGCATTTTGTGATTGAGAATTTTTCAGATGTTCTAATTTTAGTTTTAAAATTTTAACTTTATGATTTTTATAACTTCTATTTCTATTGTAATGTTTTGTCTTATAGTTTCTATTTTCTCTGTATGAAAATTTATTTTTATATTTTTCTTCTGAGGTTTCTATCTTTTAACTAATTCAAGTTTTTCATGTTTTTCCTTGTCTCTTGGAGAATTAATAGCTGCTTTAATATCTTTGATAATTCTTATATCTAGTTAATGCTAGAATTAAAATCTATTGATTATGTTTACCATTGCATATATCCACTAATTTTGAATGTGTCTTGGAAATTATGTGTTATATTGTATTCACTCTGGCTCCTATGGATGTTGATGTTTTTGTTCTAGTTAGGCTCTCATTTTAATTTTGGCTGGCTATCTGTGGGTTGTGTTTTAAAATCTCCAATCAAGTTCTTAAGTGTAGACTATGCTGATTTGGGTCTATCTCTCATATGTTTGGATCTGAGTCTAGGCTGAGACTTGTAGGATGTTTCAAATCTCAGTTCATTTCTCAAAGCTTTTTAAGCTACTTTGGTCGCCCCTACACTTATATGATTGAGGGAATAGGCTGAACCATGTAAGCTCATATACTCATGGTTAGAGGATGTCTCTCTGTGGATGTCCTCCCTCACAGTCTGGTCACCCCAGCCCCATTTCCATGGCTGTTCTGACTAGAAAGATGATTTGAGCTCTACTAGAATCTTGGCTGCAGGTGCCAGTCAATGACTGGTGTCTCTTTAGGGCAAAGCTAGGAAGAAAAAAAGGCAGGGAACTCACTGCTGGGCAGATTGCTTCTCCATGTTTTGATGCCCTGATTTAATTTACCCCCTTTTACTTATGTTCCAGGGTCTTCAGGTGTTTGCTTTTTATACATTGTCCAAAGTTTATATTGTTATTAGTGAAAGGAATGCGTTTTAGGGGTTTAAGTAACTATAATGCAACTGGTGTATATCATACCTTTGTACTGGTATGTGTCAGTTGGGATAGGAGTTTCTGTCATAAGAAATAAGATAGGGTAAATTTTAATAAATGCTCATACAAACATGATTTCTCTTAGCAGAGTTCCTATTATGACAGAGTAGAGAAAGTTGTTAACTTCTAGGTAACATAAATCAGGCACCATTCTTTCTAGATTTATTGGTAGTGTTTTTTGGTTACAAGTGATGGTGGCATTTGCATATAGATAACCTAAGAAGTTTCCATAGTAATTATGTACTTTTACTTTTTAACTATTTTATTTTATTTTTTGTCTTTTTGAGACAGGGTCTTGCTATGCAGTTCAGGCTGGCCGTGGAGTCACTTTGTAGCACAGGCTGGTCTCAAACTTGCAATGATCCTCCTGCCTCAGCCCCCTGAGTGGTGTATGCCACCACACCTGGCTATTTTTAATCATTTGTTAGATAAAGTCCATGTATCCTAATAATGGTAGGTGAATCTATCAAGCTTTTTAATACATCTAAGTAAGTGCATTTTGAGCATAAATAATAAACATTATGGCTCATTAGAATGTGAGTCTGCAACCTGGTTCTATTCTAGTTTTTATTTTTGAACTTGAAGCGATCTACTTGGATTGATGATTCTATTTTCCAGCTGACCACAGGCAAGAGATTGACTTTTCCTCCTTATCTATGAATAAGTTGTTTATTGAAAAATGTTTTTGTGTGGCTGTATAATCATCCCAATTTGAAGTACTTTTCTTACAGATCTGAATATTCTAGACTGGAGTTTTCAGAATCTTGTTGCTATAGCCCTTGGGTCTACTGTATACATTTGGAACGGAGAAAATCACAGTGAGGTTGAAAACATAGACTTAAGTCTCACTTGTAATTATATATCTTCTGTGTCCTGGATAAAAAAGGGAACATGCTTGGCAGTTGGTACCAGCGAAGGAGAAGTGCAAGTACTGGACAATTTATTTTCTCAGAATGTTCTTTGTGTGATTACTGGATAACTAGGAATGACTTTTTGGGAGGGCGGTTCTGGGAATTGAACTTGGGTCCTTGGGCTAGCTGGGAAGGCACTTGTGCCACTGAACTATATCCCTGGCCTAAGATTGACTTTTAGCGTTTTTTTTTTTGGTACCCAGAATTGAACTCTGGACCTTGTGCTTGCCAGGGAGGCAATTATACCACAGCTATATCCCCAGCCCTTAAGATTGACTTTTAATAATATATTAATATAATAAAGAAACTAGAGTAGATGTGTCACTGAACCCATGGGAAGCCAGGAGAGATACCATTCTGCTCTCTCCCCCCTCGTGTTTTATGAAGAGTTAAGGATATAGTACTCTTTTTGGTGTTTACCACAATCTTAGCTTTTCACAGTAATTTCATTTGTTATTGTTTAAAATATCTTTTCTCTCCAACTAACATTAGATTTGTAGACACCGTAGTTTTGGAACCTTTGAGAGATGAAGCTATCCTTCTAGTTCCTTTCCAACTGAAACTGTTATTAGGAGTATAGCTATAAAAATAGAGAACTAGATCTTTTGCAAAAAGGAAGGCAACAAAGAAATGGAGGAAGGGGTGAATGAAGGGAGAGAAAAGGGATGAACACAGAATTAAGATGTGTTATGTACAGGTACCAAATCCCCACATGCATGTAATCATTACACATTGCAAACATGTACAGTACTAATAAAAAAATAAAAATTGAGGAAAGACAAAAACAAGTGGAACTGTATAAAATGAGTGGATTTCTTTTAGATAGTTTCTCTGAGATGAGGATTTATCAAGGTTTCATCAATGCATCTAATTTCTCATGTGTCATTCTTTTTATTGTTTATTAGCAATAGTGTAGACAATACTGTCATATACCACATGACTTAGAAGGGTCCTAGATGGTTCTCACTGCTTTCTTATCTTTGCCAAGATTATTCAGTGCTGTGAGAGGCGTGTCATGACTTCTTTTTACACCATACTTCTTGTTTTTCATATAAGTCATATAGGTCAGAATATAATCTCTAGCTGGTAGGAATGGGGTCTCTTAGCAGTAAATTCAATTTCTGACTTCTGGAAATGTTCAGGTACTTAAATTTTATTCATCGAGATTGATACAAAAGTTTCAGATTTTGGAATATTTTGGATTGGGAATGTGCAACTGGTAAAATTCTATATAAATATTCCAATATCTGAAAAACTCCAAATCTGAAACATTTCTGGTTCTGGCATTTCAGATAAGAAATACTCAGTCTGGGGGCTGGGGATTTAGCTCAGTGGCAAAGTGCCTGCCTGGCAAGCGCAAGGTCGTGAGTTCGGTTCCCGGTACTGGAGAAAAACAAGGGAAAAAAAAAAAAAAAAAAAGAAATACTCAGTCTGTATATTTGTTGGTAACTTTAAGTGGGGTTCCAAACTTGAAATTCTCACAGTTTATAAGGATCTAGAAGTTTAATAATGATTGTCAGTTCTTAGTTGCATGTTGAATTCATCTGAAAAGCTTAAAAGAAAAAGCTTAATTGGTAATACTGGTTCTAGTACAGCAATTCAATAAGAATTTTGAGTATCCATAGTGTTTTATAAACTCCCCAGGTGATCCTAATATATAGTCAGAATTGAGAACTTCTGGTTAGAGTTACAGGTTCTGAGTTTTCACTTAGCTGATAATATATTGGCTACATCAAAAGTAATCAGCCGTCAGACCTTTGAGAAGATAGTGGATTATGAAAATACCGATCTATATAACCCTGCTTGTTCATTTTTTTAGTTATGGGATGTGGTAACTAAAAAGCGTCTGAGAAATATGCAGGGTCACTTGTCAGTAGTTGGGGCGCTGAGCTGGAATCACTGTATCCTTAGCAGGTAAGAAGCATCTTATTAGAGCCAATTGTTTGTATCACCAATTGATTAGGGGACTGACTGAGCAGAACTGTAATATTTAAAAACAGTAGAAAAATGAAACAAAATAGGAATTAGGGTTTCTATTAGGTATGATTTTACCCTCTCAAATATGCATGTCTTTTGGTGATGTACATGTCCTAGTGGCCATACACATCATGGCTGATATGAGACTTCCACATAGGATTCTGAACTGTTCAAATGAAATGAAAAATTCTACTCAAGCAAGAGGTTTCTCTGTACCAGGTAATACCCAATAAAGGATATTTTTCTGAAACAAGATGTTTATTGTTATTGATATTAATGTAAAGAATATGTTAAGCTTTGTTGGGCCAATTTTCCAATTTAAAGACTTACCAAAGTCAGAGTTATAAGAACCTCATGGATTATCCTGTTCAGTGGTTCTTAAAAGTACATCAGTGTCACGTGTAAGGCCACTTAAAACACAGAGCACTGGTTTTACTACAGGATTTCCTGATCTGACAGGTCTTAGGGAGGCTGATACAGTAATTTGCCTTTCTAATTTCCCAAGTGATGCTGATAATGTATCACTTTGAGAATTACTGGTGTGATTTTACTACTTTTTAACTAGGAAAGCTCAATGACTTGTTTGTACGATCCTCCTTAATTTATTGAAATGCTTATTGCTTTTAAGAAGTCATTCATATCTGTATTGTATTTCCTAAGATAGATTTCAGATAGATAAATACCAAAACCATTTATAATCTCTTTAAATAGCTTATCTGTAAATTAGGAATTTTAATACTTGTTTTTATTGGACAGACTTAGTTCTTGTAGTCAATTCTGTACCCAACTTCTTTTTACAGTCTGCATTGTTAGAGATTAGTTTCATTATCCGTGAAGAGCATGAGCAGATCCTTTTCAGCCCTGTGCCAGGCACCGTACTATACTTTCATGTGCAGAATCTTTTTTAAATCCCTGCAATGACATTGTAACGTGGTTTATCTCCATTTTTTCTCATATGGGTAAACTAGACTGAAGTCACATGTTTAGTAAGGGACAGAGTCAAGATTTAAACCCATGTAGTCTGGTTCTAGGGCCCATGTTAGAGTGCTATTCAGTACTATGCACAGTCTAAAAATGACTCTGGACTTCAAGAAAGTTCATAAATTTTTGTAGAAAGTTAATCCTCAGAGAACATCAAATTATTAGAGTTAGTATCTTTGAAGAGTTAATTATTTTTTAAGAAGTTATAGGATCTTTATCATTTTTAGATTTAAATCACTGAGAGTGAATAGAAACCTTATTCACTGATCTTGTTTGAATCCTATGGCAATTTTCTGTGACAGTTTTAAATTCCTTTTACATATTAGTACCATTAGCAAAACTAAGAATGGATCTATAACTTAATAGGAACAAACATGTTAGAATAGGAGATAATAAATTTCTGTCTAATATTTACTATAAATGTACAGTGAAGCCATTTCATTGAGATAAAATGAAACACTCCAGAAGAAGTAATATTTCCTAGGTCCAGCAGATAAATTACTACCTGAGACAATTTGGTAGTCTTCTAAATTTATCTTTTCCATGGCTATCTATATCTTGTTATGGTTATTAGAGACATCTGTCAAAGAATACTTTTCAATTCCTTATTTGAAACTCTGCTAGACACACTGATTTCACCTATGAAATGAGTCTAAAGGTAGAATACTCCGTTCTTATTAACCCAAGGAGTTTCTACCTGTATTTGGGTCCTTCAGTAGTTTTCCTTTGAACTGTACCTTCCTTCAAGTTGTCAATGCTTGGGTAGCAGTAGGGCTTATTATTATTATTTTTTTGTCATGGAAACTTGCCTTTTTATTCCCATGTAGTGGGTCAAGACTGGGCCGTGTTTATCACCATGATGTTCGTGCAGCCCAGCATCAAGTTGGAACCCTTTGCCACAAGCAAGCTGTGTGTGCTTTGAAGTGGTCACCGGATGGCAGGCTGCTCTCCAGTGGTTGTAGTGATGGACTGCTGACAATATGGCCTCATGATCTAGGTGCCCATGCACAGGGCCAGTCAGTAAAAGTCATATCTCAGTCTACAGCTGTCAAGGTAAGAAATCCAATAGCTTCCCAGGTTTCCTTTTCTCAGAGATCACTGGGGATCCTTCATGCATAAAAATAAAATCATGAAACAAATATTTTGAGAATTTTTTTTCTCAAGAATTTGTTTTGGATTTTATTATCACTCTTCTGAAAGACAATGCTATTTTTTTGTTTGTTTGTTTTCTGGTACCGGGAATTGAACTCACGACCTTGCGCTTGCCAGGCAGGCACTGTGCTGCTGAGCTAAATCCCCATCCCTAACGATGTTATTTGTACTCCTCATATATCAGATTTTTTGTTGTAGCTACATGCCCAGTAGCTCTTTTTTAAATATTTATTGCACATTGAGAATCATACTAGATCCAAATTCCTATTATTAATGACTTAAAAATTGGGAAAAATATACATAAGATGTTTTGTCTGCACAAAATAAAGCAAAACAATAAATAAATGAAAAACTCATACCAAGAAAAAGTAGTTATATTCTTAGATGCCTTGTTGTTAGTGTTTTTCTTTTCTTCAATTTTGAGTTTTTATTAGTACATATTTGCAGTAATACTGATTACATTCAGAGTGAGGAGTTGGTACATGTACATAACACATTTTAATACTTTTTAAAGCCCTTTTTCTCTCCTCCTGCCCCTCCTTCTGTCTCTTGATCCTTCTCCCATTTGTGAAAAATCTATCTCCCTATTTGCTATTATATATATTTTACAGCAGCACCTTGGTTTACAAACTTAATTCTTTCAATGCGTTTGAATGAGAACCAAATCAAATTTCCCCATAAAGTCAACATTGAACTTGATCATTGAATTCAATTTGGTTCTCATCCAATTCTGTTTGCTACTGGAATTGTGGAAAGAATTAAGTTTGTGAGCTGAGGTATCACTGTAATTTGTTTTTTATTTATATTTTTTCGGGGGGATGTTCTGACGTAAGAGACCAGGGCAATACTTTAAGGTAGTGTGTCTAATTCGTTTTACATAATGGTATGGTCTCCAGGTGTATCCATTTCCCTACAAATGACTCAAATCTTTTTTAGCTTGTTGTGTATAAATACCACATTTGTGTATCTGTTCATCTATTGATGAACATAGACCACTTCCATGATTTAACTGTTATAAATTGTGCTGCTATAAACATAGGTATGCATGTTATCACTGTAATGTGATATCTTTAACTCTTTTCGGGAGATACTTTGAAGGGTAATAAGTGAATCAAATGGAATTTCTAGTTTTTGTTTTTTGAAGGAATCTCTATACTCATTAATTTGTGGTTGTACTAGTTTGTATTCCCACCAACAATGTAGAAGAGTTCATTTTTTCCCCCACAGTTTTACCAACATTTGTTATTTGATTTCTTGATAATAGCCATTCTTTCTGGAGTAAGATGGAATCTTAGTATTATTTCAATTTTTATTTCTCTAGGAGCTGGAGATGTTAAACATTTTTTTCCATGTATTTATTGGCCATTTGTACTTTCTTGTTCTGAGGAGAAGAAGTTGCCCATTTTTTGTTTGGGTCTTTTATTTTTGCTGTATAACTTTTTTGAGTTCTTTGTATATTGTAGATATTAGTCTTCTGTTTGAAGTAGTCGGTAATTTTTTTTTTCCATTCTGTAGGTTGATTATTCACTCTGTTGATTGTTTCCTGTGCTACGAGTAATATTTTAATTCTGTATGACCCCATTTGTTGATTCTTGATGTTATTTCTTGTGTAACTAGGGTTTTGTTCAGAAAGTCCTTGCCTGCCCTTATATCTTCAGGAATTTTGCCTATTTTATCTCCCAGCAGAATAAGTGTTTCTATTTTAACATTTAGATCTTTGACCCATTTTGAATTTAGTTTAATGCACGGTGAGAGATATGGGTCTAGATTCAATCTTTTACATGTGGATAGCTAGTTTTCACAGCACCATTTGTTAAAGAGGCCGTGTTTCCTCCAGTGTATATTTTGGCCCCTTTGTCAAAGATTCAGTAGCTGAATGTGCCTGGGGTTGTTTCTTTATCCTCTGTTCTTTCCCACTGATCTACATGTCTACTTGTGTGCCAGTGCCATTTTTTTAAAAATCACTGTAGTTTCATAATGTACAGTAAATGAAAATCCAGGGTTATGATGTCTCCTGCTTTGTTTTTGTTGCCCAGGATTACTTTTGCTACTCTGGGTCTCTTCTGGCTCCATATGAAATTTAGGATTGTTTTCTGAGGAATACTGTTTATATTTTGATTGATTTGAGTTAAAACTGTGTATTAGTATTATGGCTGTGTCTAGATGCCCCTTTACAGCCTCAGGTGGTCAGAGGTGGGGCTTTTTCAAGATGGCTGGATACAGAGAGTATGATTGATTCATGGTGCAGTGCTATGATTGAGAGTCCTGGGACTAAAGGCGTATGGTTACTAAATCAGTCCACTAATTGGTTTGGCACTGTCCCTAAGCCCAGTAGCTTAGCTAGAATATAAAAGGGGCAGAAAGAAACTGTGCTCACTTGGACTTGTTTGCTGCCTTTTGCCTGCTCTGCTTTGCCATGAACTATTTCTTTTCTGTGATCCCCTCTGCCATGCCACCCTACCTTGGAGCCAGCCACGTATGGACTGAAACCTCTATAAACTGTGAGCCAAATAAACCTTTCCAGCTTTAACTTTGGGTGTCAGGTATTTTGTCTCAGCAATGAGAAAAGTAACTAAGACAGAATTTTGTACCAGGAGTAGCATTTTTGCTGTGACTATACCTGACTGTAAGGTTCAAGAGCCTTTGGAATTGACTTGTGGGAATTTTTTTTTTTCCAGTACTGAGAGTCGAACTCACGACCTTGTGCTTGCCAGGCAGGTGCTGTGCTGCTGAGCTAAATCCCCAGCCCCTATGTGGGAAGAATTTGGAAAGGCTTGGAGAGGCCGGCTGAAAAAGCAGCCCTGGAAAGCTTTAGGTTTTACTTGATAGGAGATCCTGGTCAGAGTTCAGAAGCTCAGAATGGTGACAGAAGTGATGCCAGTAAAATCCAGGCTCAGGAGGTTTCTGCTGGGAAGAAGTACTGCAGTAACTATTGGACTCCAGATGACGTGTGTTGTACCTTGGCAGAAAAATTTACCTGCATTTTGCTGATGTCTGGAGACTTTGTCTGAGACTGAGATTAAAGGTGGTAGATTAATTAATCTGGCAGAAGAAATTTCAAGACTGTCTAATGTTGAAGCTTTGGCATGGCTACTATTGGGGCTTTTAGCCAAATTTATGTTGGGAATCAAGAGTAAAGTGCTCAATAGACTGATTTAAAATATTTTGAATTTGGCCAGAAAGGAAGCTCTAGTAAAGTTATGGCATACAAAGATGGAATAGAGGAAAAATTGATGGCTGGAGATATAGCTCAGTGGCACAGCGCTGCTTGGCAAGCATCAGGTTGTGTGTTTGATTCCTGGTACCAAACAAACAAACAAAACAAAACAAAACAAAAAAAAACCTCAGAGGAAAAATTTGTCACTGAAAAAACTAGTAAGACAAATCCAAGTATTTTAGCACAAGAGAATAGAAAAAATGGCCTGAGAGCATCATAAGAACCAGTAGGACTCCACCAATTACAGCCTCAAAATTGCAAAAGTGAAAGACCTTGCTTTGACAAGATGTACCATCTTCCAGAATGGTGGTAACCCAGGAAAGTTGTTCCTCAGCATTTGTTTCATAGGTACATGACCTCTACAGCCAAGGGAGAAGGAAGCCAGGGTACTGGTCCAGCTGGTGGTAGACTTTAGCATCATCCACATGGTGCTGGTTTTAGGTGCATGCAGAATGCAAGAGTTGTGAGGTCAGGAAGGCTTCCATCCAGATTTCAAAAGAAGGCCAGGGAAGCCAGGCAGTGTTCCCCTGAGAGAGCAGTGTGTGAAGTTGTGACTGTGAAGCTGAAGATGCTATAGAGACCCCAGAAATTTGGGGAAGCCAGGAACATGGATCATCTGAGGAAAACTTCAAGGAAGGAGCACAACCAACCCAAGAGAGAAGCCATGGGAGCTACACCCACTGGCAGTGCCATAGGGGTGGAGCTCCCCAAGCCCTTTGGAGTTCTCATCTTGCTATGGATTGCCAGGGAGGCTGGATATGGAACTACAAAACTTAATGTTTTCCCTACTTGATTTTGTACTTGCTTTGGTCCCATTGCTGTGTATTTCTCTATTGCACTTTTTAGAATGGTAGTGTCTGTCTTGTGCCATTGAATATTAGAAGTGTTTAACTTTTTCTCTTTTGTCCTGGGCTCAAAGCTAAGGGTTTACCTTAAATCTCAGGTGAGACTTGGATTTTTCATCAGTGCTGAAATTGTTAAGACTTTAGCAACTCTTGGAGATGGACTGAATGCCTTTTGCATGAAGGGATGTGCATGAGTCTCTGGGAGGCCAGAGGCAGAATGTTATGGCTTATGTCTAGATGTCCCCCCAAAACCTCATGTGGTTATAGATGGGGACTTTTACAGAAGTGACTGGATCTAGAGTGTGTGACACTGGTATTGATTCATGGTGCAGTGCTAGAATTAAGGGCATTAGGATTAAGAGTATGAGTACCATTTGACTTGAGGCTGGGTAGCCTGGATAAGCTATAAGGGACAGAAAGAGGCTTGTTGCTTGCCAATTGCTTGCTTTTGCTGTTTTCTGCCTGCCATAAACTTTTTCTCCTATGTGACGCTCTTTTTGCCATGCCACCCTGCCTTGGAGCCAGCCAACTATGAACTGAAACCTCTACAAACTGTGAGCTAAATAAACCTTTCCTCCTTTAACTCTGAGTATTAGATATTTTGTCTCAGCAATGACAAAAGTAACTAAGACAATTAGTTTTGGAAGATTTTGACAATATTGGTTCTGTTTATCTACGAAGAGTGGATATCATTACATTTTCTGATGTCCTTTTTGATCTCCTTTTTTCAGAGTACTGTAGTTTTTGTTGTAGAAGTCTTTCACTTCATTTGTTAGGTTAGTTGCTAATTATTAATTTTTTCTTGATGCTGCCATGAATAGTATTGATGCTGTTGTGAC